GGACATGAACTCGTCGTTTTCTATGGCTGCATAGTATTCCATGGTGTATATGTGCCACATTTTCTTTGTCCAGTCTATCATTTATGGGTATTTGGGTTCGTTCCAAGTCTTTGCTATTGTAAACAGTGCCTCAGTGAACATATGTGTGCATGTGTCTTTATAATAGAACGATTTATAATCCTTCAGGGTATATACCTAGTAATGGGATTGCTGGGTCAAATGGAATTTCTATTTCTAGATCCTTGAGGTATCGCCATACTGTCTTTCACAATGGTTGAACTAATTTACACTCCCACCAATAGTGTATAAGTGTTCCTGTTTCTCCACATCCTCTCCAGCATCTGTTGTTTCCTGATTTTTTAATGATTCCCGTTCTAACTTGTGTGAGATGGTATCAATGTAGGTTTGATTTCCATTTCTCTGATGACCAATGATGATGAATCTTTTTCATACTTTTTTGGGCTCATAAATGTCTTCTTTTGAAAAGCATCTGTTCATATCCTTTGCCCACTTTTGAATGGGTTTCTTTTTTTCTTGTATATCTACTTTAGTTCTTTGTAGATTCTGGATATTAGGCCTTTGTCAGATGGGTAGATTGCAAAGATTTTTTCCCATTCTGTTGGTTGCCGGTTCACTCTGATAATTGTTTCCTTTGCTGTACAGAAACTCTTAAGTTTAATTAGATCCCATTTGTCCATTTTGGCTTTTGTTGCCATTGCTTTTGGTGTTTTAGGTATGAAGTCCTTGCCTATGCCTATGTCCTGAATGGTTTTGCCTAGGTTTTCTTTTAGGGTTTTTATGGTGTTAAGTTTTATGTTTAAATCTTTAATTCATCTGGAGTTAATTTTAGTGTAAGGTATAAGGAAGGGGTCCAGTTTCAGCTTTCTGCATATAGCTAGCCAGTTTTCCCAACACCATTTATTAAACAGGGAATCCTTTCCCCATTGCTTGGTTCTGTCAGGTTTGTTGAAGATCAGATGATGGTAGATGTGTGGTGTTACTTCCAGGGCCTCTGTTCTGTTCCATTGGTCTATATCTCTGTTTTGGTACCAGTACCATGCTGTTTTGATTACTGTAGCCTTGTAGTATAGTTTGAAGTAGGTAGTGTGATGTCTCTAGCTTTGTTCTTTTTGTTTAGGATTGTCTTGGCTATGTGCACTCTCTTTTGGTTCCATATGAAATTTAAAGTGTTTTTTTTCCAGTTCTGTGAAGAAGGTCAATGGTAGCTTGATGAGGATGGTGTTGAATCTATAAATTACTTTGGGCAGTATGGTCATTTTCACGATATTAATTCTTCCTAACCAGGAGCGTGGAATGTTTTTCCATCTGTTTTTGTCCTCTCTTACTTCCTTCAGTAGTAGCTTGTAGTTCTATTTGAAGAGGTCCTTCGCATCCTTTGTTAGTTGTATTCCTAGGTATTTTATTCTCTTAGTAGCAACTGTGAATGGGAGTTTGCTCATGATTTGGCTCTCTGTTTGTCTGTTATTGGTGAATAGGAATGCTTGTGATTTCTGCACATTGATTTTGTATCTGGAGACTTTGCTGAAGTTGCTTATCAGCTTAAGGAGATTTTGGGCTGAGACGATGGGGTCTTCTAATTATACAATCATGTCGTCTGCAAATAGAGACAATTTGACTTCCTCCTTTCCTAATTGAATACCCTTTATTTCTTTTTCTTGCCTGATTGCTTTGGCTAGAACTTCCAATACTATATTAAATAGGAATGATGAGAGAGGACATCCTTGGGTAGTGCCAGTTTTCAAAGGGAATGTTTCCAGTTTTGGCCCATTTAGTATAATATTGGCTGTGGGCTTGTCATAAATAGCTTTTATGATTTTGAGATACGTTCCATCAATACCCAGTTTATTGAGGGTTTTTAGTATAAAGGGCTTTTGAATTTTGTTGAAGGCCTTCTCTGTATCGAGATGATCATGTGGTTTTTTTCTTTGTTTTTTTTTTTATTTGGTGAATTACGTTTATAGACTTGTGTATGTTGAGCCAGCCTTGCATCCCCGGGATGAAGCCTACTTGATTGTGATGGATAAGCTTTTTGATGTGCTGTTGCATTCAATTTGCCAATATTTTGTTGAAGATTTTTGCATCTATGTTCATCATTAATATTGGCCTGAAGTTTTCTTTTTAGCTGAGTCTCTTCCAGGTTTTGGTATCAGGATGATTGATGTTGGTCTCACAAAAGCAGTTAGGGAAGATTCCCTCTCTTTGTATTGTTTGGAATAGTTTCAGAAGGAATGGTACCAGCTCCTCTTTGTATGTCTGGTAGAATTTGGCTGTAAACCCACCTGGGCTGGGACTTTTTTTTGGCTGGTAGCCTATTAATTGCGGCCTCAACTTCAGATCTTTTCATTGGTCTATTTAGTGATTTGACTTCTTCCTGGTTTAGTCTTGGAGGGTGTTTAAGTGTCCAGGGATTTATTCATTTCTTCTGGATTTGCTGGATTACGTGCATAGAGTTCTTTGTAGTAATCTCTGATGGTGGGTTGTATTTCTGTGGCTTCGATGGTGATGGTCCTTTTATCATTTTCTATTGCATCTATTCAATTCTTGTCTCTTTTCTTCTTTATTAGTCTAGCTAATGGCCTGTTTTGTTGATTTTTTTCAAAGAACCAGCTCCTGGTTTTATTGATTTTTTGAAGTGTTTTTTGTGTTTCTATCTCTTTCAGTTCTGCTCTCCTCTTAGTTATTTCTTGTTACTGCTAGCTTTTGAATGTTTTTGATCATGCTCCTCTAGCTCTTTCTTTGACAATAGGGTGTCAAAATTGACAGAGCTAGAGGATCTTGCTCTTTCGATCTTGCCTCATTTCTCATGTGGGCATTTATTGCTATAAATTTCCATCTAGACACTGCTTTAAATATGTCCCAGAGATTCTGGTATGTCATGTCTTCGTTCTCATTGGTTTCGAAGAACATTTTTATTTCTGCCTTCATTTCATTTTCTATCCAGTTGTCATTTAGGAGCAAGTTGTTCAGTTTCCATGTAGTTGAGCGGTTTTGGGTGAATTTCTTAATCCTGAATTCTAATTTGATTGCACTGTGGTTTGATAGACTGTTTGTTATGCTTTCCGTTCTTTTGCATTTGCTGGGGAGTGATTTACTTCCAATTATGTGGTCAATTTTAGAGTAAGTGCGATGTGGTGCTGAGAAGAATGTATATTCTTTTGGATTTGGGGTGGAGCATTCTGTAGATGTCTATTAGGTCCGCTTGGTCCGGATCTGTGTTGAAGTCCTGGATGTCCTTGTTAATTTTCTGTCTCATTGATCTGTCTAATATTGACCGTGGAGTGTTGAAGTCTCCCACTATTATTGTGTGGGAGTCTAAGTCTCCATTTAGGATGTCAAGAACTTGCTTCATGTATTTGGGTGCTCCTGTGTTGGGTGCATATATATTTAAGATAGTTAGCTATTCTTGTTGGATTGATCCTTTTGCCATTATGTAATGTCCTTCTTTGTCTCTTTAGATCCTTGTTGGTTTGAAGTTTTTTTTATCGGAGACTAGGATTGCAACCTCTGCTTTTTCTCATTCTTCATTTGCTTGGTAACTCTTCTTCCATCCCTTTATTTTGAGTCTATGTGTGTCTTTGCACATGAGATGGGTTTCCTGAATATAGCACACAAATGAATCTTGACTTTTTATACAGTTTGCCAGTCAGTGTCTTTTGATTGGGGCATTTAGGCCATTTACATTCAATGTTAATATTGTTATCTGTGAATTTGATCATGCCATTTTGTTACTGGCTGTTTTTTTTTGCCTGTTAGTTGACTCGGTTTCTTCATTGCATCATTGGTCTTTGCCATTTGGAACATTTTTGCAGTGGCTGGCACTGGTTGTGCCTTTCCATGTTTAATGTTTCCTTCAGGAGCTCTTGTAAGGCAGGTCTGGTTGTGACGAAATCTCTTGGTAATTGCTTGTCTGTAAAGGATTTTATTTCTCCTTCACTTATGAAGCTTAGTTTGGCTGGATATGAGATTCTGGGTTGAAAGTTCTTTTCTTTAAGGATGTTGAATATTGGCCCCCACTCTCTTCTGGCTTGTAGGGTTTCTGTTTAGAGATCTGCTGTGAGTCTGATGGGCTTTCTTAGTAGGTGACCTGATCTTTCTCTCTGGTTGCCCTTAGCATTTTTTCCTTCACTTCAACCGTGGTGAATATGATGATTACGTGCCTTGAGGTTGCTCTTCTTGAGGAATATCTTTGTGGTGTTCTCTGTATGTCTTGGATTTGAATGTTGGCCTGCCTTGATAGGCTGGGGAAGTTCTCCTGGATAATATCCTGGAGGGTGTTTTCCAGCTTGGATTCATTCACTCTGTCACATTCAGGTACACCCATCAAACATGGATTAGGTCTTTTCACATAATCCCATATTTCTTGGAGGCTTTGTTCATTTCTTTTCACTCTTTTTTCTCTAATCTTGCCTTCTCATTTTATTTCATTGAGTTACTCTTCAATCTCTGGTATCCTTTCTTCTGCTCGATTGATTCGGCCATTGAAACTTGTATATGCTTCACATAGTTCTCATGCTGTGTTTTTCAGCTCCATCGAGTTGTTTATATTCTTCTCTAAGCTGGTTATTCTACTTAGCATTTCGTCTAACCTTTTTTCAAGGTTTTTAGTTTCTTTGCGCTGGGTTAGTACATGTTCCTTTAGTTCAGAGAAGTTTGTTATTACCCACCTTCTGAAGCCTGTTTTTGTCAATTTGTCAAACTTGTTTTTTTTCCCTTGTTGGTGAGGAGTTGTGATCCCTTGAAAGAGAAGAGGTGTTCTGGTCTTTGATGATTTCATCCTTTTTGGGCTGGTTTCTTCCCATATTCATGGATTTGTCTATCTTTGATCTCAGGGAGCTGTTTGATGAGGTGGCTTGTCTGCCTGTGGAGGCACTGCTGGGTTGCCAGGGACTCCACCCAGTTGCTACTTAGGCTTCCTGTGTCTTTTTATTTACACAGGGCACTTAGGCCACCCTGTTTAATGGTGGATGCCCCTCCCTGCGATGACCTTGAGGCACTGCTGGGTTGTCAAGGACTCAGTCCGGTTGCTAGGTAGGGTTCCCGTGTTTTTGTTCACACATGGGGATTAGGCCCGCCTCTTTTATGGCAGGTACCCTTTCCTCAACGGAGCTGGATCATTCAGGGTTCAGCTCGGACTGAGGCACTGGCTGCAAAACCCTCAAGTGTTAGGGCTTCAGCCTCTTGGGGTTTGTGGCGGAGGGACCCGCCCAGCTGCCCTGTCCGTTTCCCCACTTTCAGCTCTCTCTCTCTCCAGGGGGCGGTAGCTCTGGCTGCCGTCTCTCCAGGCTGGCTTATGCATTTGCTTAGATCTGTGCGGAGCCCACAATCCGTGGCAGCAGCCTGGATTATTATTCAACTCTGCACTTGACCACGAAGATCCCCTCTTCTATGGATTGCTGAGGCTTTGGGGGAAGCACTGTATCTGGACCAGGGTTACAGGGAGGAGCCCCCAATTCTCCGGTCAGACACACTTTCTGGGTGAAGCAGCACCCCTCCCTGTGTTGGTCTGCCCTGCCTGGACTGTGCTCACTGTCCATCCCGTCCTGTTGAGATATACATTTGAGTCTTAATGTTGATGGCTTTATTTAGGTGTAATATGAAGGAGGGAAGAAATTTTTTTTAACTTTTTCTTTATATAGTTCTATCTTATTTGATTTGTTACCAGAACTATTTAACAGATCTTTTAAATCTAATAAGATGAAGAGGAGGAAAAAGATCACATTATGGCCTGAAGTTTCAGGAGTGTACAAATTCTCCTTTATGCCACAGGATTCCTTTTCCAGAGCTTCTAAAGGAGATATTGGGGCACTGGCATGTAACAACTAAAATAGTACGTTAGCTTCTAGGTATGGGCCTTATATTCCAATTTCTAGCTCTTGTAAACTTGATTAGGCCCAAAGTTCTTTACCTAGACCCAAACCTAAATGCGGAGGTGTGAATTACCACCTACCGGATGTAACAGGTACCAGAGACCAATCTTGAGCTCCTGCCCAAGGGAGGAGCAAGTCAAGGGAGCCAGCCCTGGCTCTAGCATAGGCTTCTTGGGATGACAGAAAGGGCAAGACTCCGCTGGTGAAAAAGAAGCAAACAAACAAAAAACCCACAAAAACCAAAACAACCAGTCACAAACAAAAAATCATGGACCATTTGTGGTACTTGAAGCTGATCGATTCGACGAACAATTCTTTGACACAACTGGTAAACAAGATCAGATAAGGAAAATGAACTCTCTTTTCTGTGAATATTACCTGTCATAGCAGAAAAAAAGTAGAAAACTGCTGCTTTAGATCCCCATTTAGTACATGAGAATAAAAAACGAGGACCCAACAAAGACAAAATTAGAGAAATCAGAGTGTAAAATACAAACACTGCAATGTGTCTTCATGAAAATGAAAGGGGAGCGTTTTAAAAGATGATAATAAACAGTGTCCGTTGATAGATTCAAAGAGATCATTGAAGAGCAGCAAGACAAAAACAGCCTATGGATTAAAGGATTAGGAATCATTTTTTATTTTAGAAGAGCTTTAGTAATTTTGTGGGTAAGGAAGCAGATTGTGGGGAGGTTAAGGTGAGGGGTGGCTTATGGGGAGTTAAGGTGGGGATGGCAGGTATAAAGTTCTTGTAGGAATATTTGGGAAGAGTAGGAAAGGGAGAAACGACCCAAGATGGGGGTAAACCTCTTTATATGTCTACAGAGTAGGAAACACTGGAAGGATCTGGTAAAGAGATAAAGATTTAAGATGGAAAAGCATAAGCCTGTTGGAGAAATATTCTGAAGAACCACAGCACTGTGGGAAAGGGTTAATGTTAGAGGGAGCCCTTTCTCCGAAGTCTAAGAGAGAGGACGGTTGGAAATATTTGGAAGTACAAAGTAGAAAAGTTGGTACAACATACTGAATTCAGTAAAGCAAGAACTGAGATTACCTGTTAAATAGAAGCTCCTGGGAGCTTTAACAGTCCAGAGATTTAAAATTAGTTCTAAGTAAAATAGACCGACGAATTAGGTGTGCTTGGCACAATCCTAACTGGGCTATAGAAAACTCAAGGAAATTACTATTTCATAACTGTTGTGTTCCCACTGCCCAACACAATGTTTGGCACATGGCTAGTGCTCAATAAATGTAAATAGATGGATGAATGAATGAATGAAGGCAGGATCTGGTATATTTAATTGAATCAAACTATTGTCACCCCCTCCAGACCTCAAGGAGGGCCTGGGTGAAGTTAAATGTAATCATTTAACTAAGTCCATAGTGTTCTGCAGTTTGTAAACAGGACTTAATAAAATAGATGATAACTTTTTTATAAGCCCTAAATTGTGTGTGTTGGCTTTAAGGGTAGCGGTAATATTTTATTTTGGCAGTGCTGGATGAAAAGGGGGAGTTGTTAGATCTAGGACACATTGCTCAGCTGCTTGTGGCTCTGGAATATTTGTGGTTTCAGTGTCCCCTGAGGAGCCTGCACTTTCCTGCTCTTGCCTCCTCATCAGAGTGTTCCAGTAACTTTGAGATACTTCAGATCTCCCTATTTAAACCTGAAGAAATGACTACCATGTTTGTTAGGAAGGCTTGGGAGATCGTGTTCAGGAATCATGTGTTAGACGTGGTAAGTGAACACCAAGATTGCAGATTTGAGGACATGTGGGACAGACACTGTTTGAAACCATAATATAAATCAGCTTATAGTCTTTTATTTTTCTGTGAGAATAAAAAGGAAAGTAATGATGAAATTATCTTATTTACTCATTTATTTAATAATTATATATTAAGCACCTATATTATGCAGAGAAAAATGTTAGTAAAATGTGACTTGTTTACTGGGAAACATTTTGACTATCCTTCTTAAAAAATAGCATGACTCTTATATTGTTTTTATTTTATTCTTATTTTTATTTGTACAAATTTATGGCATACATGTGAAATTTTGTCACATGTATATAACACGTAGTGATCAAATAAGGGTACTTAGGGCGTCCATCAGCCAAGTACTGTACTTTTTATTTGGTTTTATTTTGAAAGGATTTTACAAGTATGGTGCATTTTTGTTAACTACAGTAACCCTACTGTGCTGCGAAACATTGAATTTATTACTTTTTTTGACCTGTATGTTCATACCCTTTAACCCACTTCTCTTCATCCTCCCCTCTCACCCACACTCACCCTTCCCAGTCTCTGTTACCTATCGTTCCACTTTCTACTTCCTTATGATCAAATATTTTAGATCCTACATATGAATGAGAAGATGGGATGTTTGTCTTTTTGTGCTTGGCCTATTTCACTTGCCAGGGATGGTGGCTCACGCCTGTAGTCCCAGGGAGGCCAAGGGGGGAGGATCACTAGACCCCAGGAGTTCCAGACCAGTCTGGGCAACATGGAGAAATCCCATCTCTACAACGAATATAAAAGTTAGCTGGGTGTGGTAGTGCACGCCTGTAGTCCCAGCTACCCAAGAGGCTGAGGTGGTCGAATCACTTGAGCTTGGGAGGTCAAAGCTACAGTGAGCTGAGATCAGGCCACTGCACTGCAGCCTGAGGGACAGAGTGAGACCCTGTCTCAAAACAAACAAATACCACTTCCCCACCCCAGTTCTATCCACATTGCTGTAAATGAGAGGATTTTATTTTTTGATGTCTGAGTAGTATTTCATTGTGTTTATGTACACATTTGTTTTATTCATTTGTCTGTTGATGAACACTTAGATTGATTCCATATCTTTGCTATTGTGAATAGTGCTGCAATAAACATGTGAGTGCAGTTATCCCTTTGATATATTGATTTTTCTTTGAGTAGATACTCATTAGTGGGATTGCTGGATCACATGGTAATTCCGTTTTTAGTTTTTAAAGAAATCTCCATACTGTTTTCCATAGAAGCTGTACTAGTTTACATTTCTACCAGCGCTATATAAGAATTCTTTTTTCTCCACATCCTCACCAACATCCATTATTTTCTACCTTTTGTGATTTGGGTAAGATGATATCTCTGTGGTTTTGATTTGCATTTCTCTGATGATTAGTAATGTTGAAGATTTTTTCAAATACCTGTTTGCCATTTGTGTGTCTTCTTTTGATGAATTTCTAATGATTTCCTTTGCCCACTTTTTAATGGGATTGCTTTTCATTTGTTTGTTTTGATGTTGAGTTGTTTTGAGTTTCTTGTATATTCTAGGTATTAGTCTCCTGTCAGATGAATAGTTTGCAAGTATCTTCTCCCATTCAACAGGTATTGATTCACTCTGTTGATTATTTCTTAAACCAAAATTAAGCTTTTAATTAGGTCCTATTTGTCTATTTTTAGTTTTGTTGCCTGTGCATTTGAGGACTTAGTTATAAATTCTTTGCCTAGACCAATGTCCAGGAGAGCTTTTCCTAGGTTTTCTGCTAGTATTTTTATGGCTTCAGGTATTATGTTTAAGTCTTTAATCTAGTTTGAGTTGATTTTTGTATATGGTAAGAGATAAGGGTTCAGTATCATTCTTCAGTATGTGGCTCTCCAATTTTCCTAGCATCATTTATTGCAGAGAATGTTTCTTCTCCAGTGTAAGTTTGTGCCTGTTCCAAATTTATTTCCTAATGAAGGAAAGTTGAAATAATTCTGATACTAAAACACACATTTATCTTCTACTTACTAGCTGACATGAGGAGTTTGTGCTTTCTTCCTTACTGCTGAAGACATGAGTAGGACCAAAGCGTTTTCCTCCATATTGCTTTTGGTTCTTAAAAATCTTCACAGTGGAAACCTTGACCCCTTGAACCATAGCGGCAGCAGGTGATCAGAAAAGGAACTAGATTTCAAAATATTTTGTTTTAAGATGTGCTTTGTTGTATTGAAGTCATTATAAAACATCTGATATTGATTTTGAGATTCTTAATTCATTCTTTTTAAAGATTCAGATTAAAAAACCTAAACACATTTCCACTCAGTTTTCCCATCCATTAACTCAATTCAAAACATCCTTATCCTGCAGTGTGCTGCTGTGTTTCTGCCCTTGATGAATTAAGAGAGCTCTTAGGTCTCTTGTGGGGTACATGCAGTACTGTCTTCCAGAAAAGAGAAAATGACACTGTATTATAGGTTCGACGTATACTCTACCTAAGGGCAAAACTAGTCAAAAATCAAACTGAATTTATATTGAATTTCCCTATATACTTGTGAATGCCTCTTTCACAAAACATTGTTAAAATAAATATCAGGGCTGGGTGTGGTAGCTCATGCCTATAATCCCTGCACTTTGGGAGGCTGAGGCAGATGGATCTCTGGAGGTCAGGCGCTCAAGACAAGCCTGGTCAACATGGTGAAACCCTGTCTCTACTAAAAATACAAAAATTAGCCAGTCATGGTGGCACACACCTGTAATCCCAGCTACTCGGAAGGCTGAGGCAGGAAAATCACTTGAATCCAGGAGGTGGAGGTTGCAGTGAGCAGAGATCGTGCCATTGCACTCCAGCCTGGGTAACAGAGCAAGACTCTGTCTTAAAAAATAATAATAAAATAAAATAAATAAATATCAGGAAATTATCATGTAAAATCTACTCTGAACTTTTAAAGTCAGATTGCTTGCACTCTAAGAAGAGTTGAGGAACTTTATAAGGAGTTTATGAGGTAGCTTTCAAGCACTTGCTATTCCAAGAGTATTTTATTAAATTAATTTTAATATATTAGGAGTTTGGGAAAATGCTCTGATGGTTGTAGGTATTGTTAACTGAAAGATGGCCGACATTTGGATAGGAAGTCTGGGAAGGGACAATTTGACAATTTTCCCTGCTTATCTTCGTACATGGCCTGCCCCCATCTTCATCCATCTTGGGGACACTGAGCGTCATGGGATTTAAGATGAGACTTCAGCTCCTTCATTCTATAAAGCCTCTTATAGTATCCATTTCTACTTCATTCATATGGATATATTGAATCTCCACCCTACTGGTGTTAGGGATAAAAGCGTGGTTCTTTATCTTGAGGATTTCACTGGCTGGTGAGGGTAGTGGACATGCAGGAAAAGTAAGTTACAGCAAAACTATGTGCTGTAATAGAGGGAGGACAAAGCATTGTAGGTGCTTACAGGAGCAAGTGACTCGTCTCGTTCTGGGGATTTGGACAGTGTTCCACAAATGTGACAGCTGCACTGAGCCTTAAAAGATACACTGAAATTTGTTAGGTCAAGAAAGGGATTCGAGGCAGAGAGAATTGCAAGTGCAAAGTCTTGGAAGTTGGCAAGAGTATGAAAGTAAGAGAAGTATACAATTCATGGAGTGGCATGGTGAAAGAGGAAAAATAGACTTGATTCTTGTTAACCCAGTAGTGCCGGTGGGGTGGGAGGTCAGCAAAAAAGTTAAAATTGTTAGAAACATAAGAGAACTTGAAAAATAGTTTGTTATATAAAACATCTGATAGGTAATTGGGTGATTTTTTCTGCTACAGTATTTTTAAAAATCATACATTTATCATCAATATAGAAAATAAACAAAGAAAATCACTTCAGTATAACTCAACTGATGACATTTCAATAGCATTATTTCTACCCAGCTGGGGTTCTGCCTGTCTTCACAAACTGCTCTGTTCCACTTGTACATACATTTCTCACTCTGCTTCACTATTCGATGGTCCAGATATGAGGATTTGCAGTTATTTTCTCAATAACAGCAAAACAAAAGTCTGTCTTATTTTTCCCAAAAATGTTCAGGAGTTTACCAGTTGAGTCAAGGAGTGGTATCACTTGTAGTACCAAGTATTTTATCATTAATAACTTTACACGGTACAGTAATTTTTCATCTAAATAGATGAAAAGTAATGCATTTTCAAGATACATTTTCAAATCACGTGTTTGAAATTGTCAAAAATAAAAGCACTATTTTATTTTTTAAATGGAAACGTTGTAATTGTACATATTTATGGGGTACAATTTAATATTTCAATACATACACATATAGTATAAAGAACCATATTCTATTTATGCTGTTTTATCTATTAAAATGTAGGGACCAGGCATGGTGGCTCACGCCTGTAATTCCAGTATTTTGGGAGGCCGAGGCAGGTGGATCACCTGAGGTCAGGAGTTTGAGACCAGCCTGGCCAACATGGTGAAACGCTATCTTTACTAAAAATATAAAAAATCAGCTGGGCGTGGTGGCAGGTGCCTGTAATCCCAGCTACTTGGGAGGCTGAGGCAGGAGAATCACTTGGACCCGGGAGGTGGAGGTTGCAGTGAGCCAAGATCATGCCACTGCACTCCAGCTCGGATGACAGTGTGAGACTTAGTCTCAAAAAAAAAAAAAAAAGTCATAGGGAAGAATTATGTACAACACTTAAAAATTTCCAATTGGGGAGGGAGGAGGAGCCTCAAAAACTCATAAGTAAATTGCATTTAAAATTACTAAGGTTTGAGTGTGAGGGCTGATTTTATGGTGAAGCTATTGAAAAATTATAATTTATTGACTTAAAGAGTATTTGCAAAAGTAGAATATGCCCATATAAAGATATACAATATATAAAAATATGTAACATGTATAAAAATAAAATCAGAGTTGAAAGTGTATTGTTTACTGCAAAAGGGACATTGTAAATATTTCACTGATGAATAAAGTCAGCTTGTTAGAGTTGTTAGAAAAG